TAGGAAGCAGCAGCTACACAGAGGCAGCAGATAACATCCATGTTATTGCAAGGGACAGAAGTTTTTTATTTTTAAAGATAATTAATATTCTTTTGGGTAAACACATCACATTTTCTTTACCCATTCGTTCACTGATAGACACGTAGGTTGGTTCCATATCTTGGCTAGTGTGAAAATGCTCTAGTGAATATGGGAGTACAGATAACTCTTCAGTATTTCACTTCAACAACTCAATTTCTTTCGCAGTCACTGGATCCCACCTTTTGTTATCTTTTTGCCTTGCTTTTAGAGTGGATTTGCTTTGTGACAACTCATGATTCTCATGGTCACTGCTGTTACTGCCACTCTAGACCAAGGGCCCCTCATGTTTGCTAAAAAGAGATTTGTGTGCTTGCATACTGGTCTGAATGGACACACAGAGATTCTCAATCAGGTAGATGGGTAATGCAGCCTGTAGGCTCCGGGTGAAGTTACTTCTTGACTATACCAGTTCTGGGACAATGAATCATGCTCAGAATAGTGTGATCATGGACATAGGTGAGGATTATTAATAGGTGAGGATTAGTAATAGGTCCAAGAACATGATTCTCTCTCTCACCAAGGTTAATTTAGATTCTGATAGCACTGTTCATCTAATCTGATAGCAGCAGAGACATAGCAGCATTATATCTTTAAGGTGGCACCTTCTTGAAATACAGACACTTGTGACAGATTATGATTAGTCCATGAGAGATAATATTATATTATCATTATTATGTGAGGGATCATATTATGATTTTATTAGCTCCTTGTCCTTTGTAGGAAATAGACATTTATCCTCATTAGCACTGTCACGATCTCATATATGAGTTATCATTTTCTGCCTGCTGTTCCTCAGCCTGCACCACCACCTGAGGGCATGTCTATTGCCCATGCCTGTTGGTCCTACTTCACACACAGAAGGATCTCAAAATGAAGACTAATTTTATGAAAAAGGAGGCACTCTAATAGTTTCACAGTCTTATCATGTACCATGTCACCCAGAAGCAATCAGGCTAATGGAATGTTGTATTGTCCTGTTACAAGATCTGTAAAGGTACCATCTGGGAAACGATACCCTCGAGATTGGAGCTTTGTTCCCAAGAATACAATAAATACATTGACTCAATAACTAATTCATAGTTCAGTGTTCCCACGTAGCTAGAATATGAGTCCAGGAACCAAGGAGTAGAGGTAGAATTGACTATTAAGTTATTACTCAGAGGGATGTTTTGCTTGTGGAGTTTGTACATTTCTATCTGTTTAGACTCAAGTTCTTCTGAATTAGAGGTCCAAGTTCCCAGGAATAAAATGCTTTCCCAAGAAAGGCGATAAAGGAGGGAGTGAACTGGAAGTTGCAATTATCATCAGCTGTCCTGAGCTCCTCATATCAGGGGCAGCGGGCAGAGAGATACTGTACTGGCTGGAGTAATTGGCTCTAATTGCCATGAGAAGCCAGAGTTTCTGCAATGGGAGATAAGTATGTCTGGAACTCAGGAGATTCTCTGGGTCATCCTTTGTGCCTTTGTGTTCACTGATAATTGTGCAGTAAATGGACACTTACAATCAATGCAAGGCAGCGAAAGGCTCAGTGCCCTAGGGCTGGAGATCTGCTTGCTCTACCAGTTGCACAGCACAAGTGAACTGAAGTGCTAGAGGGAGGGGAGGGACATCTAGGCTGAGTAAAGGAGATGAGATGAGAAATACCAGTCAGGACTTAGAAGACCAGCTTTGGCAATGGAGACTGTAGCTTAGTTTGTCATTCTTTGCAATCTTTTTGTTTGTTATTACTTTGAAGGTTTGAGTTTGCAACTTTCATATTAGGAAATCAGGATAGACATGTATTAGACAAGATCCAGAGACTCTAAGAAGATGTAAATCAATTTCAGTGGCAGGGGTTGAGGGATAAGGACAATTTTATCCATGATCTTTGGTCAATTTAATCAGCTTTACTTCCCATGGTCATAAATCCCTGGGCATCATCATCTTTGCTAAGAGCAAAGAATCTCCATGCATAGAGTCACTTGATAAGGAAAGACCACCATACCTTTGACCTTTGGATAAATATATGGTGCTGAGTTACCATAGTTAGAACACATGAGGCTTGGAAGTTAGCATAGAAACAAAATTAAAATAGCTGTCAGTTTTGTCCCTTAGATATAACTGCCATAATTATTTTGATATAATTATTTCCACTCTTTCTTATGTTCCCATAAAAATAAAAAAATTGATATTCTAACAGAGGGTGATTATTATATTGTTTTTAAAAGCATTAGGTTCTATTGAACTTTCCCATGCTATTAAGTGCTTTTTTTAAAAAAATTTTTCCCATAATTTTATTGATAAACAAATAGCAATGAGACAGTTTCAAATCAAATTTGTAGGACAGTTTCAATAATTAACACATTGCATACATTCTTCCTAGTGGTTCATTGCTGTACAAGATGCGGACATGATATCTTATTTACAAACACCATTAGAACAAATCCCTCTATTCATTAAGAGAATGTAACTATATATCTATCCTAACCATTTTGAATACACAGATACAAAATGGACATTCATCTGTATACCCTTTCATTAAGTGTTATTTATTTATTTTTTCATTAAGTGTTTTCGAAATAAAGATTGAATGAGTTCAAAACATTGACTCTTATTACTTTACCATTTAAATTATATTCCATGGCTATTATTTCTTTTTTTGGTTTTATTTTATATTAATTTTTATTGAGAAACAAATAGCAATGAGACAGCTTCCAAACAGGTTAGTAGGACAGTTACAATAATTAATACATTGCATATTGTTGTCTTCATAGTAGTAATTCATAGTACAAGATGCAGACATGATATCTTGTCCAAACACTATTAGTACAAATCTTTCTTCTCATTGAATTAAGAGAAAGTAGTTGTGTATGTATCCTAACTATTTTGTATGCACAGATACAAAATGGCCCTTCATTTATATCCCCCTTTTTTTTGTTTAGTTTTGTTGGAGATGGGTATTTCCATTGTCATTTAAATATTGTAGGTGTGTGAATCCAGCAAAATAATCCAATATAGTCCAGTATTTCATAATAGTAGTGGGTTATCCATAGGACTGGCAATGTCAGAAGTTGTTGACTTGAGCCTTTTACAGCTCAGCATATTAATATGGCTTTACTTTTTATACCTCCTTTTTATACTTTTCCTCTGGATGGCTAAAACCAAGGTAAAGCAAGACCTATATAACAAAAAAAGTAACTTTTGTATCTGCCAAAGTCAGTCAAATTCCCTCAGTATTTACCCTGAAATCCTGTACTGCAGTTTGTAGATCCTTTGTGAGTGTCAGCCATGTAGATGAGTCACAGCTATTGCTTGACCAATTTGCTCTCTGTGAAAGCCTGACAGAATGTTTTCTCTCCATGTGACTCTCCTTAGGTGTATTATACATCGTTGATCACTTTCCTCTGTGGCCCTATAATCTCCTTGATCAGAAAATTTGGGACACCACTGAGACAGGATGTTACAGTACAAGTTCGCTTACATCCTGAGTCCTCACTGACCTTGAATGGCTAGGGCCAAAATGTTGGCTGTCCTTGCAGTCCTTCTTTTTCTTTAATTTTTGGTCTGCATACTTAAGTTGTTAATCCTCCAGAAGAGAAGCTTAATGATATTATTACCCTATAACATAGGCAGTTGAGTTTAACCTCACTATCTGTCTGAATATCAAACATCTTAGACCATGGCTATTATTTCGGCTTTGTGTTTTTTGGCAATTAAAAATGGTGAAATGAAAATTTTTATACCTGAATCTTCATGCATGTCCCTGTTGTTTTTCAAAGATGAGTTCTTAGAGAATCCTTTTAGTGAGAAGAGCTCACCGTGCTCTCAAAAGCCATGGGGTTGTTGGCCTCAGGCCCCAGCAAGCGTGTCTATCCTGCCCAGCTTTGTGCCCTTCAGTCAGTCCTTCTGCTGGCGAGTGTTTGTGCTGAGCAGGATCTAGGTTCTGGATTTCCTTCTGGTATGGGCAGAGGCCTCCATGTTGTTCAATCAGGCCTTGTGTGCTCCTTGCATCTGCTCCCAGTATCTACATAGCTGCAATGAGTGAGGGGCAATCTCTTGTGCATCTCAGATTAAAGCTCCATGGCTGCTAAGTCTTTCCTTATCAAAGGGAGGTAGCCCTTGTGTGGCACTAACTGCTTTCTTGTATATCACCAATCTAAATCGTTGATCCTCAACAGAGGATAAGTGTCCTCTCAACTGCTGGGGTCATTATCTGTATGTGTGTGTGTGTGTGTGTGTGTGTGTGTGTGGGGCCAGCTCAGCCCACCAAGGGGCGGGGCTGGCTGGCATGTGGTGCTGGGGGATTGAACCGTGATCCCTGTGTTTTGCTAAGCTTGTTCTAAGTAGGTGCTTTTAGACCACTGAGCCATCCCACCAGCCCCTAGGGGTCATTATCAATGCCTAGAGACATTTGGGTTGTCACAACTGGGTGGTATGGAAAGAAGATGAATTCCTGTCATCTTATTTAGTGAAATTCTGTATGGTTTCCAATTTTTCCTTTTTTTTACTATTTTTTATTGTCTATAAAAACAAGTGTAAAGATTCAAATTAGAGTTGGATAGGGTGGATGGTTAAGGTAAGAAAAGAGTTAGTGTAATTTCTTGTGTAAGCTGATTCCTGCCTTTCCAAGGAAACCCTTTCTCTTCATTTTCAGTATTTCCTTTCTATGTTATTCTCTGTTTGTCTCTCTCAATTTCTGTGTCTTCATCTTTGTCTCATATACAAGACACACACACACACACACACACACACACACACACACACACACGCCATGCACACATGTGCACAAACTTTCCACATGTCATAGTTACTTGGGCTTGGATTAGGCTTGCTGTGTTTAAGGAGAAGTGAGCCACAGAGAGAGAGAGACACATACATACTCAGATCTGGACTCTGAGTTTTTATTGAGCTTTGTTAAGAGTTCTGTGAGCTGTAGGGACCTTCTGGAATCTCAAGGACATGGCAGAACTTTAGCAGGGACAAGATATAGACCAGAGCAAATAGTATAGAAATCCCGCTCACATCCAGTTCCAGACTTCCTTTCAGGCTGGCTCAGGCTCCAAGATTAATTCTCCTTCAAGATCTTGTTGATCCAGGGCCGGTAATGGGAGATTCGGGTGAAGACAACAGGGGGCTTTGCATTCCAGTGTGCATAGGATGCAATGCCCTGGGCTATGCCTGCACATAGCAGTGGGCCTCCAGAATCTCTCTGTGAAGGGGGAGGGAGAACAAGAACAAGAGGTAAGCTGGGAAATCCTCCAACCCTGCCCGTAGGACCAAGCTGGAGTCATCACCTGGACTAGACTCAGACCCGGAGCCTTGGATCCTCATGGGGTTACATGCCTGACACTCTTGCTTCCTCTCCTGAGGCAGTCACCCCTGTGCTATAGACTAAGTTAGGTGGTCAGAGGCTGTCCTGGGCAATGAGAGGATGCTCACACTTTCAGGTTCCTCATACCAAGGATCTCAAACCTGTCAGTAGGTGTCAAATAATCATCCAATTCCATCTCTTGCCAGAAGAATTCTGGCCCCTGAACAGTGATTTGTGCAGAACTTGGTTAGAGAATTACCTTGAATACAGATTTTCTCTTTCTGGGATTGCCCACACACAGCTGGAGATTGTGCTTGAAGTTTGGGAAGTGTTTGCAGGCTTGGGGATCCATGAGTCTCAGCTTCACCTCTTGCAGAGTGTCTGAAGCAGGCTCATCCGCACTTGTTTGTCCCCAGCCTGCTGCCCGGCACATTCTTCCAGATGGGATGAAGTTGAATTCAGGTGGGAGGGGCAGTGTGCCCACAGCCAGGGTCAGGTTGGCTTTATTCTCCAACTGGGAAGAGAGTGAGGAGTTGTTAGTGCAGGGTATGGGTTGGAAGGCAATTAGAGGCAATCAGGGAAAGAAGGGCAAATTGCTTCCCAACAGAGCCAAATCTAAGGAGGGGGGATGAAGCAGCAGATACAGAGTATGGAGCAAAGAAATTTTATGGCAATGGGGTCCTGAAAAAGCAGTCTAAGGAAACTGAACAGGAGAAAGATGTCACCTCGAGTAACATGATGTCATGGAGAAATGTAGAGCTATTGTAGTTTGGATGCAGGAACTGCTTTACAACCTTAAGCCTCTGCCATGTGTCTTCTTTCTTGTTTTTGTTATGGACCCCTAGGATGACTGTTAGAGACCTGTTGTAAAGAAGAAGGCAGGGTAAGCAGAAACAGCAATGGCTGGAGATTTCTCCTGAGTGATGTGCATTCTGAGAAAAGAGGCTGCAATCCTTCCCTGGAGCACTGGACTCTTCCAATTCCCCTTTTCTGGGCTGCTTGTATTTTGGGGTGCAGGACACAGGGTGCTCAGGAATTAATCATGGAAGAGCTTTCAGAGAAACAGACACAGTTTTCAGGACAAGACCCCTGGTGGTCTCTGGAGAATGAGCAGGCCATGGAGAACCCAGAGGATGGGGTTATTGCTTCCTAATTCCTTTAGCTCTGTATGAGGGCTGGCTATGGGAGCAAGAGAGCAGAAGAAAGCTGGGAAGTTGTGGTCCCCTGTGGACCTGGCTGTTCTCTGCCTCCAATGAAGAGGATGGGTCCTAAACCCTGGGAACTAAAGGCTAGTGTTATTGAAAAGGGCTTGGAAGAAGTGGGCTGGACAACTGGATGGGCCTTTAAAGTTATCTTCTGTGTAGGGATGGAAGTGAGAGAAGCTTTCAGAGGAGAACTTGGGATGACCTTCCTTTTCCTCCATAGGGAAGCTGAGCCCACAGTGACTGAGGCTTGAGGCATCTCATTCAATAAGACCAATTGATCTAAACCCCAATCTTTCTCTTAAAAGTTGACCCAGCACCAGGATCTCTTTTTTAGGGCCCCCTTTGGGTATAGTCTAAGTTGCCAGGCTGGTTGTTCATCTCCCATGTGGAGGGAAACAGGCCTTTGTCTTACCTTCCTGCACAGTGAGCTGCTGTCAGTACAAATCTCCGTCGTATTAGGAAACCACCACAGGCTCCCTGGTGTCCCTCAGAAGTGCCAATTTGTAGGTAAGCCATGTAGGGACGGGAGTGCGGCTTGCACTCAGTGCCACCGATGACTTCCCCTAGAACATACAGTTCCAGAACCTTCAGAGAGCACAGGCACTGACTGATGTAGTCTCCAGAGAATGCATAGTCTGGTTGTGGCTAATATCTTTCCGTGAATCTCATCATGGTCCTAAATTCTGCCTATTTCTCTCTCAGGTCTTTTGTACCTGTTTTTCCCATGTAGAGCTTCACTCCCATAAATTTTCATTTCTTCCTCTGAGCAAACAGCCAACCCTGTTGGATGCTGTTTAGACATCTTTCACCTTGGATACCCTGCTCCCACCCTACTCCAGGCCTGGCTCTTTCTCCGTCTCTGTGCAGGACACATTGTTCAGACTCCTGCCCTATCTTCTCTAAGCCCAGAAGTGGTGCCACAGGAGCCATAGAATGGACAGGTCACAAAATAGTCTGTAGCTCTGAAGCTCAGAAAAGGAAGAGAAAGCGCCCATTTTCCTCTTGAGGAGAGAACTCTTGAGGAGAGATCCTGAGACCCTGTTTAAGAGCCAGTTACGTTCGGAATAAACATCTTTGTTTTAGGAGCTCAACCTGAAGATTAGAGACAGAAGGATTTTATACTCACCAGCTTTAGTTTGGGCACACAGGAGAAAGAGTAGTAGAGGGAGAGAAAGAAGACACATCTTCTCAGGGAGGCTGCCTAGGCGGGTGCTAGTTTTATCTTTTAGTTTGGGATTATTATTCACAGTAGGCAAGAGAGGGGTGGGGCTGGTAACCACAGGAACTGTGCGGTCATGTTTTTTGCTGTCATTCTAAATTGGCTCTCCTCATGATGGAAGTTTCCTCCGAATCCCACTTATTTGCCTGAGGTGAAGTTGAGGTAGAATAGAAAAGGGGAATGGGCAGAGTCCAGTGCTCCAGGGAAGGATTGCAGCCTCTTTTCTCAGAATGCACATCACTCAGGAGAAATCTCCAGCCATCGCTGTTTCTGCTTACCCTGCCTTCTTCTTTACAACAGGTCTCTAACAGTCATCCTAGGGGTCCATAACAAAAACAAGAAAGAAGACACATGGCAGAGGCTTAAGGTTGTAAAGCAGTTCCTGCATCCAAACTATAATAGCTCTACATTTCTCCTTGACATCATGTTACTTGAGGTGACCACATCTTTGAATATATTATTTTCATAGGCCCATAAAATCAACTTCCATTTTCTGGTTCCCCAGATGAGTTTTCAACCATGCCCCTTATCTGGTGGGAGTGTGGGGACAGGGTATGGAGGGATCTTGTCTTTCCCAGTTAAGGAAGTGTGTTAAAATTCCATCACAAACACTAGTTGTGGGCCATCTTCACATTAAGCTTTCAGATGTGTGCACCATCATATGGCATGGCCCACAGTAGAAAATAAATTTTGCAAAAAGACCCAATGAACATACATGCATATAGTCAATTATATAAGCACAGACACACATGCACATACACACACCTCACTGAAGTGCAAGTTTCAGAAGACAATACTGGGCTGGGGAGATAGCTCAATAGTCTAAGCACCTGCCTGGCAAAGTGCAAGGAGGACCTGGGTTCAATCCCCAGTACCATATGCCATGAAGGCCCCTGAACCCTGGGTGCACTGTGCTGGCCCTGAAACCAGGTGTGGTGGTTCATGCCTGTAATCGCAGTGCTGGGGAGGCTGAGACTGGAAGATCACTATGAGTCTGAGCTACATAGTGAGACCCTGTATCAAATATAAAAAAAATCTATTAGAAGACAATATTATTATCATTATTACTTTTTTTTTTTTTTTTGGTGGAACCGGGAATTGAACTCAGACCCTTGCACTTGCAAGGGAAGCGCTTATTCCACTGAGCCATCTCCCCGGCCCCCTAGAAGACAATATTTATCGTAACAATGTGCAGTGTTCTCTGTTAGCTTCTGTTCCATTCTATTTCATTCCCTTCTATTTAATTCTATGTAACTTCATCCCACTATATGATAAAACTTGAGCAGCACCTCTCTGAAGTCATTATTGCCTGCAATTTGAAAAACACTGATTTGCATTTCTCTTCCTCTGAATTCGTATTTGTTGGCAGAGGAAGAGAAAGGCCCAAGGTGAATGGATAGAGGAAGAAGACAGACTCTAGGACAGGACTTTATGGATACCATCTCCAGACAAAGGGGATACAATTAGCCTTTTCTTAGAGCTCATGATTATCATTTATTATCACATCTTTTGAATATATTGTTATTTTCATAGGTCCATAAAATGAATATTATCATTGCAATTTATTGATCTGGCTATCAAGGCTAATAGTTCAGAATTAGAGTTTTCTTTTTCTTTCTTTTCTTTTTTTTGCAGGAGGGCCAACTCAGTCTACCCTGCGGGTGGGGCTGGCACAGCATGTGGTGCCAGGGATTGAACTGCGGTCCCTTGTGCCTACCTAAGCTTGCCTAAGCAGGCGCTTTAGATCGCTGAGAGATCTGACCGGCCCTTATGTGTGTTTTGAGACAGAGTTTTGCTGTGCAGTTCAAGTTGGCCCCTGAACTCACTTTGTTGCCCAGGCTGGCCTAGAACTTGGAGTGATCCTCTTGTCTCAACCTGGAATTACAGGTGTGCATCACCACACCCAGCTGATTTTTCTGTTTTCAAATCAACGGTCCTTTCTGATCAACCAACCACAGGAAATAGAGAAGTAGAATCTTGTCAATGTGGAGGGGAAATATAGGTGTCTTGCTCTCGGTAGCTTGAGTTTCCTGTATTTGCTGAAATATACTATGTCAGTATTTGAGATTTCAGCTTTTCCCCCCTTTTGTTGTTGTTACAGCCACCTTAGAAAATACTGTTACTGTCTCCACAAAGGTAGAATCAAGATCACACATTAACCAAGATCACACAACTTGTAACAATCAGAACTGAGTTTTGGGCCAGTCAGATAGCTCATTGAACTAAGGTGCCTGTTTAGACAGAGTGCGGTGGCTGATGTTCAACCCCCGGCAATCCATACTGGTTCAGCCCATGGGTTGCACTAAAACAGAGGTTGAGATTGGGCTTGGTGGTGCATGCCTGTAATCCCAGCACTTGGGAGGCTGAAAACAGGAGGATCACTATGAGTCCAATCTATGTAGTACTACCCTGTAGGCCCTCTACCAAATACATGAAAGAAAAAAAAAAAAAAGAACTGAGTTTCCAGTACCTAACTGCTGCTTTCTCTGAACTTGGAGAAGGAATCTGTGGGAGAGCAGGGTAACACAGTTCAGTGTCATTTCTCTTTGAGATTTATGTGTTTGATTCATAGAGGGGAATGCATAGCGTTCTCCAAAATCCTTCTCTTATGTCCTTGAGCTGATCTTGGGTTTGTGACTGGGATGATTCATTTCTTAGTATATACAGATATTGATTGGATTTCTGTTGCTCACTATTTAATTTCTGAAGTCCCATCCATAGCTCTGATCTTTTTGTTTTGTTTTGTTTTAATTAATTAAACTTACACAGTTTTCCTATATGCCATGATCATGTTCATCATGGGGAATATATATACACCATCTTCCCCTCCAAGTTCTCCTTTTATGCTGTTGGCAACAATCCTCAGGTGGGCCTCCCATACCTAGCACCATGCTGATTCAGTTCAGCTGAGTATTACAAGTTGACCGTAGTTAATCCAGCACAATAGGCATCTCGGTTATTTCCACAGTTTAGCTTTTATGAATTGTGCTACTGAAACATAGATATGTATGTATCATGTAATATGATGTCTTTAACTCTTTGTATTATTACCAAATACAAAGAGTTAAGGACATCATATCCTGGGAAGATACCCAGGAGAGGTAGATCTGAGTTAAATAAAATTTCTATTTTTAGTTTTTTTAGTGAATCACCATAATGATTCCCACAGTGGCCAGACTAGTCTGCATCTTCACAGATCACAGTGAATATCATGCTGGGTATACAGTAATGAATTTACAGGAGGTCACTGAGTCAAACTCTTTCCTAGAAAGTACATCTCAAAAGGCTGAACTCACCTGAGCTCTTTGAGCTTTCAACAAGGAAGAAGACTAACATTTATACTCATTCAAAATACACTCTTTTGATTGTCCATGACCATTGAGCCAGATGGAAAGAGAGAGCATCTCTAATCTCCAATAATAAAGGACATAAAGCATCCTCTGAAGATATACCCTCTTAGAGGCTGGTCTCATGCCAAAACAGTACGCTGTCAAAAATACAAAATCACACAAATGTCAGATGTCCAACACAAGCCAGCACTGCTTAATCAGTATGCATTCTTTCCACACTTAAACTTCCTAGAAACAAAAACCTTCCCCCCTCCCTTGAAATAATCTTCATTATCTTTTATTCAAAGGAAAATTAGTCTTAATTCCCTGGAAGTAACTAAAATAAAAGGTCTCTTGGGTTACTCTCTTTAGCTCCAAATATAGGATCTCTGGTGATATTCATTCCACTCTAATTATTCACTCTACCATCTTGGAATTGTGTGAACTATAAACTTAACCATACATTGCAATGTCAACATTCTACATAAAACATACATAAGGGAGAGAAGAAGACAGAAAAGGGAACTCTGTTAAAATACACTCAGCTGGGCGTGGTGGTGCTCAAGACCAGCCTGAATTGCATAGTAAGACGCTGTCTCAAAAAGACAAATATATATACATATACACTCAGATAATGAAAAAATTGCAGGCAGATAGTACAGTGCACATTGCTGAGGTTGGTTCCCCATGATGAACTTCCAATGTTGATAATATGTAAGTTTCAGAAACCTACAGTTTCGCATAATGCACACTACTTACTCAAATGTTCCATTGTTTACGGCCCGTTAAGAAAGTTATTGGGGAAACTGGATCTCTATGACCAAAGATATCACAAAGTACACACCATCCTGAGAGGGACAGTCACATTGCAGGGCTGATTTTCTTCTTCCTGTTCTCCTTCCCCTCCCTACTCCTCTTCTTCTTTTTCTTCTTCCTGCTTTTGTTGCTTACAGATATAGAGTCTAAATGTGTAAATATGTTGTGTGATTAATTGACATCTTATCTCTTCTAAGAACCTTATTTATTTTTTTAAACAATAGTAAGCAACTCTAGTGGTAAACTAGTTAGATAAGTATGCCTTTTAAAAATTTGTTGTAATTGGGCTGGGGAGATAGCTTTGTGGCATAAGCACCTGCCTGGGAAGTGCAAAGACCTAGAGTTTGATCCCCAGTACTGCATGCTGTGCCCACCCTGGAACCTACTTTGACCAAGGCCAGCTCCCTTCTATTCCTTTCTGTTTTCTCTCTTCCTTCCCCACAACCAGTCTCCCAGCCCCTGATGCTTCTTTTTGTAAGAGGCATTTTAGAAATGGTAGAGAAAGGTATTTTAAAAATATTATTATTATTATTATTATTATTATTATTATTTTGAGACTGGGTTTTGCTATGTAGCTGAGGTTGGCCTCAAACTCACAGTGATCCTACTACATCAGCCTCCTGAGTGCTGGGATTATAGGTGAGCACTACTACGTCTGGAATCTTTTTCATTTATAAAAGATAAAAATGAAAAGAATAAGGCTGGTTAAATAGCTCAGCAGATTAAAGCCCCTGCAAATAGGCACAAGGGCCAGGGTTTTGATCCTGGGCCTGCTGTATTGACCCTGCCCCTGCCCCCCCCATAACAAGTGAGACTGGGTGCAGTGGCACACCTATAATCCCAGCACTTGGGAGGCTGTAAACAGGAGAATCACTACGAGCCCGATCCAGTAGTGAGATCCTGAACACCCTGTAGACCCTTCCCTAAAATACAGAAAAAAAAAAAAAAAAAAAAGAAAAGAATAAAAAATCAGTAAAGGTAACATTTTCATTACCTGTTGGGAAAGGGAAATACTTTGGTATGGCATGTGTAAACATTTATTTCATTTGCTTCTGTGCCCCTAAAATGACCTAACTGGGTCAAGATTCTGTGAATTCCAGCATATTTATGAGTATAACATTGACCTTCTGAAGCCACGGGACAGGCACCCATTTTTTTTTTTTTTGGTGCATATTAGTAATACAGAATAATGAGATTCAGTTTTATTGCACTTTTTTGTTGGGGGATTTATGCTTTCCCACTGTCATTTTCGGCTTTGTTCCAACTTTTGCAGGAACAGAATTAGTAGCCAACTAGCTGATCCCATCGTGGGCCTTTCCTTCACTGTGCCTTCAGCTGAGCTGACCTTCTGCTTCAGCATCTTGGCAGTGGACAGCACTCGTTGGCTGCGTTGGGCTGAGAGCCTTCCTTAAGTTGGGTTGTCTGGTCGCTGCTGCTCTTCCTGCCCAGGGCAGAGCTGTCTTGTGTGGATACTTATTTTGTCCCACTGGCTTTGTGGTGCTGTGACTCTTATCACTCTCCATATCTGTCAAACAGGCTCACTACTTGGGCCCCATCTTCTACATCACAGAATTAGGTGCTCTGGTGATAATGATATATGTACCTACTAGATGTCCATGTGATGCTGTTTGATCTGCAGTGGTGGCCTTTCTAGGTGCCCTGGGATTCCAACTCAGTCTGTGAGCTCAGCCCAGCTCTCAGCAGTCTTTCTTTCCTGCTATTTCTTGTGGGCCTGGCTGGTGGGGTAGGCTGAGCATGCTCCCTCTACTGGGCCAAAGGGCTGCCTGGAGTATGTGCTCTCTGTAGGATCTGGGAGTCAAGAGGCAATGAGATCTCTGCTGCAATAGTTTGTGTTTGAGTCTTCTAAGAAAACATGCGCAGTGTCTCTGCTCTGTGTATTTCACATTTAAAAACTATTATTAAGTATACAAATATTAATAGGAGGAAAAAAGGGACATGGTTTTAAATTTTTTTTTTTTTTATTTTTGGTACAGGGTCTCACTATGCAGACTTGTAGTGATCCTCCTGTTTTCAGTCACTTCAGCGCTGGGATTAGAGGCATGTGCTACCATACCAGTCTCAGTCGTCAGCTCAGAGTGCCTGGAGGTGGGGCCTGCACAGCCTGTGGTACCAGAGTTTGAACTCTTGTCCCTGTGCTTGCCTAAGCAGGCGCTTAGTCCACTGAGCTATCTCTCAAGACCTGGGGAAATTGTTTTAAACGTGGTCCCACACAAGACCTTTAATGTTTGAGATCTTATATTCAGATTGTATTTTTTCCCTCACATGTGCTTATTTTTCAAATAGAGGAGTGTGTGTAAGCAGTGTTGTACATTATGCTTTCCATAATTTATATCTATATTAATTAGTGGTGAAGCTGGAGGCCCATGTCGGTGAGCCTGGGAGGCAGTGGGGAATAGGAGCATTTTGGCTCCTTGATCTGGGACTGGAAGTGAAAGCAATTTCTCTTGATGCAGTAGTCAGGGCCCATGCCTACCTTTTTGGCACCCTAGGGACAGTGGTGAGACCTGTGTGTAGCTCCTCCTCTTGTACTAGGGGGCGTGGTTGTGAGTGTACTGATCAGTTATTGGTAGCCGTGGGATTAATGGGATTGCAGGTTCCTCATAGGAAGGCACTTTGGAGATCCTGACCTAACTCAGGTATTCCTCTTCTGCAAGACACAGAGACACCATGTTATCTTTGAGGAAGATGACAGTGGAGTTTAGCTGGCTCTGCTATAGTTCTGGGGCCAACCTTGCATTGATGTTTTTGAGGATCCCTCTGCCAAGCAGGAGTGGCACTGTCTCTTATACAGAAAGAGCTGGTTCCTCCTTCTTTTGTTACTGCTATACGTAGTCACAGAGCCATCCTGAGGATTACTGGGGGCAGCTGCTTCTCTGGAGGTAGACCCAATGCTGAGGGGAGGATGATATAGGGCTTGTGTCAAGAATACAAGGACTCAATGGACAAGGAATTCAGGCCATACAACTAGGACAATCTCTGGGGCAATCATAGGAAGTTTGCTGTCTTGTATGAGTGAATTCAAATGGCTGAGACATGAGGTTTTGTGAGAGGAGGAGGAGACAGGAAAAGAGAAAGAAGAAGAGAAAGCAGTGGAGAAAGAAAATAATTAGTGCCAATATTAATCTGTTTGCGAAATCCTCTAGTTCAGACCTGTTTATTAACAGATTAACTTTAATAATCCATAGCACCATGTCAAACTCGGAGGAGTTGGTTGTCAGATAATTAACATGGCAAGAAAGGAGCCCAATGCAATTTTTAATTCAAGATAGAGTGGGATGTGGGTGAGGGAGGAAACCACTTCTAAGCAGTGAAAACAGTGGAGTCGCACACATGTTGGAGGCTGCATCTTTATTGAGGTTCATTGGGATCGATCATTAGAGGCTTCTGTGCTCAATGGAGCTTCTCTGGGCTCCTATGGAAACCAGGAGATACCCAGAGAAAGCTCTGGTTTGGGGACTCTCAGGCTGGTGTGGCCTCTCAGCTATTCGGAACTCAAGACTTTATTAATCCAGGGCACATATGGAGATATGCGTGTGAAGACAGCAGGGGGCTGTGCGTTGGGGTGTCCGTAAGACACAATTCCTTGGGCTACCCCAGCACACAGCAGGGGTCCACCAGAGTCACCCTGTGGGTTAGAGAGAGCAGACCATGAACAGAGATTGTCATCCTTCCACTACTCTTTCCTCACTCTGCTCCACTCAGATCTTGGCTAGTCCTAAGGTGTCCAGAGCTGAGTCTGGGGTCCTGGCTCCACATGGCATTGCTGCATATGGTTTACTGCCTGCATTCTGTCTCTGGTCTGGACTCACTATTCCAGATCTAGTCCCGAGTACGGTTTACTGCCTGCATTCTGTCTTTGGCCTGGACTCACTACTCCAGATCTGGTTCCCTTGACTCTCTCTTTTTCTTCTGGACTGAGTGGACAGACTGGAGGGAGGACTTAGGTATAGAAAGAAGGGCCAGAGGAGTAGATTCCAGTTCCTGGAGTGTGAGGAACCTACGAAGAGACACCAATCATTCTACTGGCAACTTTTCATCCCACCCATTCCATAGATGTTATTTTCCTGTAAAAGTAAGTATATAGTCACCCTGTATGCCGATCTTATCTTCCAGGGATTGCCTACGCAGAGTTGCAGGTAATTATTATAATTCTCAAAGCAGTAACAAGCATTTTCATCCATGATTCTCAGCTTCACTTCTCTCAGAATATCTGATGTTGGCTTTGTGACTCCTGTTTTCCCCCAGCCAGCTGCCCGGCACATTCTCCCAGGTTGAATAAAAGTAGATGCAGTAGGCAGGGCAACTGTGTTCACAGCATGGTTCAGTGTGACTCTGCTTTGTAGCTGTTTGAGGAACAGAGGAGATGGATCATTATCCAAGAAACCTGGGTGTATTGGGTAATATGGTGAGGTAGAGATCTCCTGGGACAGGGTCAAGCACTTCTCCCAGTGGGGTGGTGTTGAAATGGGGTGGGAAAGTGGGTTACAAGGAAATGGGTTGAAACAGAGAGAATGAGAAAGTCACAGGTTAGGAGAAAGATTAAGCAAAGGGCAACTGAGAAGCACAAAAAAGATAGCGGCACCTTCAGTAACATGATGTCATTGAGGACAGCATGAGGATCATAATTTGGGTGAATAATTTGTTTTGTGACTTTCAGCTTCTGCCATGTGGGCTCTTTCTGTGTTAAGTCATGAGCTCCAAGAGTGACAGTAATTTTCCTGTTAAGATAAAAAGGAGAGACAGGGAAAAGCACCCACCTTTAGAGAGGGGCCCATTCTGAACAGAGTGACTCCATTCCCACTTCACACTTGAGGGCTCAGATTTTCTAAGGACAGAGCTACTGTAGACAACTGAACTGAAGGGGGCAAAGAGCTGGCAGACATAAGACTATGGTTGCTCTGGTGGCACCAACAGGAGAAAGGCTGTGTTGACTGTTGTGATCTGTGCTACCCTGTATAAAGTCCTCTTCTCTGAGAAGTGAAGAGGAATGAGAAGGGAAATGGCCATATCTGTCCAAAATATATTGCTGACCTCCTAGAGATGAACAGGGCAGGGAAACCTTTTTTCAGCCCAGTTCAGTATTTTCTGTAGTGCTGGTGTCTACGAATCCTCACAGGGAGAGTAAGTAAAAAATTTCTTACCGTCCTTTGCAGTGAGCAGCAGTCAGCACAAATTGTTCACTTATAAGAAACCCACCACAGCTGGAAACGTGCTCTCTGCTAGTGATTTCCAGATAAGCCATGTAGGGTCGGGAGTGAGGTTTTGCTTTAACACCACCGATAATCTCTTCTGGAACAGAGAATCCCAGATCCCAGTCACAGGCTAATAGAACCTTCTAGCATGCACTGACAGAGGAAGATGCTTATCCTTCACTTTATGTAGCATACTTCCTTTCCCCTCTTTTCCCCCTTCCACTCTATGAATCTTCAGAAAACAAAAGTCAGTCTTCTGAGTTGTCATTTCATTTAGGCTTTCTAAAAAATTTATTTATTTATTTATTTTTGTGTGGTGCTGGGGATTGAACTCAGGATCCTGTGCTTGTCAGGCAAGTACTTATTCTACTGAGCTATCTCCCCGACCTCTAGGCATTTCTTTATGTCATCATCTGAATCTTTTCAGCAAAGGGCAAGGCCAGAAATGGGTCATGAATCAGAATTGTGGGTATTTTGAAGAAAGCAATTAGTTTTCTTGTTCTTTGCCTACCCAAGAATTCTTGCTCTGGGAAACTGCCTTTGACTGCAGAAGAGGCTGTGACACTTCCCGGTTAGAGATTTCTCTTGGGATACTTGGAAAGAGATCCTGTAGCCTTGTTTTAAGCTCCTCACTTACCCAGGCCAGCACATTTGGGATGAGAGCTGGAGTACCAGAACACACGACATATAAATAAGACTCACCAGCTTCACCTTCAGAAGGCAAGAGCAAGATAACCAGGAGGAACAGGGCCTGCATTTTTCCTGTGATGTGGTCCAGGGTGGGCTTCTTATGCTACTCTCTCTCTGACCCCTACCTTTATAGTCCCAGAAGTAGAAGAGAGGGCAGGGCTGGAAACCCCAGAACCCGCCTAGTCAAGCTTTCACTCCGGCAAGTTTATCATCCTTATCAGAAATTCTCGTTTCTATTCTCTGCTCTGCTGATGAAGCTGTGGCCAGACACCAAGAGCATTGGTTTTTGGGACCGGCATTCACTTTTCTTATTTCAGTGGCTCTCCAGAGGCAGAATATTTGTAATACAAATCAGAGTATTCTAGTGCAGCAACCAGCAAACTTCTTTTTGTAAGTGGATAAGCATTATTTTTAGCTAAGAGGGCCATACTACCTTTGTGGCAACTGTTCCCCTCTGCCATGATAGAACAAAAGCAGCCATAAACATTATTTGAACAAAAGGGTGTGATTGTATTTCAATAAAACTTTATTTACAAAAAGAGGTGGTGGGCTCATTTGGCTTTCAGCCATAGTTTTTGTTGGCAAAAGTGGAAAACAAGCCCATCCTTGTACCCAAATAATGAGTAGAATAATAGAAGGTGGCAGTGAGAAAAAGAACAAAAGAAAATGTGTTAAATACTCACAATATATTGTCTCTAATGGGACCTTCCATGCATATTTCATTTAACATCAGTAACAACTTGTTTGAGTATTAGTGCACACACTCAGTAGACGCTCAGAATATTACACAAAAGCAAAATACAAAATTTAGTTTGTTAGCGTTTGAAAGTCTTATTTGTTTCCTTCTTTTAATCTGAGTAGAAAGAGAAGTGGGATGAAGTTGGTCCAATGAGTGGCAAAAATGGAATGTAGAAAGCATTCCTGTATTCACTAGAAAATCTACCCATGGAGGGTCAGACTTGACAGATAATAAGATATCTTCGCCTGTCATTATTTGAGGAATTGCTCTGGGTGTTCATTATTTCATGTGTCAGTGGGAGACAAAAGCAGTGCTCACAAAGAAACAAAAGCATGTCATTGATTATGACATTCATTCCTGTTGTAAAGTTGTTAAGATGTGACATGTTGTGTGCATCACTGCACATCATTGTAGTCAATGACATAGCATACTTTTCATGTGTGTATTTTGTCTCATTCAACTTTACATCAATCCTGACATGTATTATTATTTAAAATTGAAACATGAGGGAATGCAGAGAATTGGAAGCATTTGACAAAAATTGTATCACCTTTAAATATCTGAAGCGGGCATTGGTCCCATTTCTGGTTGACTTTAACCCCTTGATCTTTCCTTATATCATTTCACTTGACTGCTGAAATAAAACAAAGGAAGCAACAATAATAACAAAGATTTAGAGGAGAATTCATTGACAGTTATCATAATTTTATAAAGTGCACCCTGTACAGTAAATCCTTCACACCATCCTGAACGTTCAATCCTAGCACTGGAAGTGAAACTAGAGGTATGTAACCTTAGGTTCTGTGAACCGAATTGGTTTCTGGGACTGGCATTCCCTTTTCTTATTCCAACGGCTCTCCAGAGGCAGAATATTTGTAACACAAACCAGAGTATTCTAGAGCAGCAATCAGGAAACTTCTTTTTGCAAGTGTAAACATTATTGGGTATTACTGGTTTTGGATTAAAAATTTGGCTATATTAAAACTTACTGATAACAATGTTGCAAGAGAAAGACTATTAGTTTTAGATTATAAAGGATCATTTATGGCATTTATTAGCAAATCTATCATTTAAATTGTCACCTGCATATAGCTGTAATCCAGGACGAGGTTTTTGGTGACTAAACATTTGCCTTTACACATCACATTAATGAAGGTAAGTAGTATAACAGGGTTGGGTGATTTCTTCTAACTGCACTCAGGAACTTAGGCAAAGAAGAAAATGATCTTTGGCATTTTTAATTGCAAATTTATCGCATAAGTAAGAGTTCAGGAATCTACACCTGTCAAAAAAGAAGTACTTGTTCACAGAACCTCACATGTGATATTCCTGAAAATCAAGCCATAGTTATGTCCTTTGGTGATTTGTAACACATTTTGTATTCCTAGACTGGCACAGTCTCTTAGAATTAAGGATTTATTGGTAAAAACTAAATTCTGAAAATTGGGATAGGAATGTACTTATGTAGATTCAGATGAAACTGGAACCTGCAGCCCCTTAACTCCGCCAATCTACCTTTACCAGTAAAGGAAGTCATTTTCTCTGGTCTGAAGAATTTAGTCTTAACTGAAGAATCTGTAGAGGCATCCTCTAAAGTAGTGGTATTTTAGAGAACTGTTGATTCTCCTCAGATTATAATATTTATCCCAACCGTCTTTTTTTTTTTTTTTTTTCAGAACTGGGTATCGAACTCAGGACTTTACACTTGCCAGGGAAGCACTTATTCCTCTAAGCCATCTCCCCAGCCCCCCAACCATCTGTTTACTTCTGAATGTATAGACTTAAATCCCAAAAGTCCCAGGCACACATGACCTGTGAGGAATTACAATATATGCCAAGACTATTATGAGATTTTTCATTACTTTTTGTCAACAGAAACACAAATAGGAATGGATCCAAGGATTTGGAGTAGATGGCAAGGAACAGAGGGAGTGACAAGGCTGACATTGTTGGTGAGATGTGCTGTACTAAGCAGGGATTCTCTGGTCAATGTGTCACCTGGATCTTGTTGAAGTGGCTCCAGTAATATGCTTATTTGGTTAGAAAGACAAACCCCTAGTGGCCTGTGGCATTCCAGTGCCAGACTTTCTTTGGTACACTGTGGATATACCTATTCCAAAGTTTAGGGAGATCAGATTTAAGGTGTGCTTATTGTGTAAGACTGGCTTACTCACTTCCAAGTGTGTTCTGGGACGGTGCAAGGACATTCCCTTCACCAAAGCTGAGGGCAACACTGGGGCAGGAGCACAGGCACTGGGGAAGAACTTTTCAGTGGTTATTTGCTGCAGGTCTGGGGTGACTGGAAACTGCTGCTACTGACTATGGCTGAGTTCCAATAGTATGGTGAGATCTGGGATGAGGGTGGGTTGGGGGTGGGGTTGCTAGGTAGTGAAACGAGGATTCAAGGAACAAATCCATTGAAATGAGTGTTAGAGTTGAGGCAGAAATGAAAACAACTCTACAGATAGAGGCCTTTGATGATCAATTGATCATGTTGTCTAGCACTGATATCGATGGACAGTCTGCTGAAGTGTTGGTTTGTATAAGAAGACATGTTTGGATCTGGTGTTATTATAAGGCACCTCAGCTAGTTACTAGACTTGAACCACATCATTGGCTTAGAGCCCTTTTGATGACAGAAACTTAATGTCTTTGATGGAAGTGCTTCCAACATGGCTCAGAATTTGTCTATGTAGCTTTCTTCTTGTCTTTCCTGAAACCCCATGTGGCTATTTGATTCATAGTCATATTGATGATTGATTAGACAAAAAATAGAAAGATTAACTTTTTTCCCTGATTACTAGGCACTGGCTCTGCACTGATACTAATTAAGAATGGCTCAAAGTGCTTCTGTAAGTCCCCAGTAAGAGCAGTGTGTTATAGAGATGGTCAACACAGTTTTGGCCCATCTCAGCCTGGACCTAATGGGTCCCAAATCAATCTTTGATTACTTATTCAGCTTCAGATTAGAGTGGGAGTAGATGTATTCCTCATAGTGACTCACATGCAGAAGCCACCTTGTTGTCTATAACTACAAAAATAGTAAATTTAGAGCAATACAATATTAATGGAAGGCAATCAGTGTTATAAATGCAGCAAAAAATTAATGAATGATGCAAGAGTGGTGATTCAGCTTATATATTTGGTTTGTGTAGAAGATGCTGGATCTTGGAAAATTGTAGGAGGATATTGTAAATTTACTCATGTAGTGACTCCAACTGTAGCTGTTCTTGTAGTTTTCTTACTGAGGCACAAGAACACATAGCTTGCAGCTACAGATCTGTAGAAGTGTGGGGAACCACTCAGATTGCTTCAAAGTTCAATGTCTAAGCATGTCTGAGGACATCTGACCCTATTTATCTAGTGCAGGTGCACAGTGTGATACTGTAATGTAACCATGACTTAGCACAGATTAGCACACATGTGCTGGTTATGGCATTATGCAAGAATGCAAGTATGAGATAAGGTCCTGTACAAGAATGATACAGTAAAAACACAGGCAGCTCTGGCTCTTGCATTCTTGTGCTCTTGCGCTCTGATCTGTTCCATGTTGCCTGCTGTGGTTGCTGATGTCTTGCAAATGTGTATAAATTAATCTTGGGACCACACCCTCAAAAATCCCCTTTGACACCTTCTCCACCTGGGTTGAAAGAGGCAAAGCAGTGTGATTTCACTTGGGGAACTTGGTCATTTAGCCACTTCACAAAACATGATGCTAGCCAATTACATTGAGTATATTTTGCTGAATGGATTTGGAGTGCAGTAGATAGCAATTACTCCAGATACCTTGTTATAATGCATGTATCCCAGGGAGTGGAAAATAAATGCCTCAGAATTTATGGTATTCCTTACAAGAGAAATATTTAAGGACTCGGTGAACTTGGGCATGACAATATGTTTCTTCTTTTTTTCTTTTCTTTTTTTTTTTTTTTCCCGTAACCAGGGATTGAACTCAGGCCCTTGCGGTTGCCAGGGAAGCGCTTATTCCACTGAGCCATTTCCCTGGCAATATGTTTCTTCTTAAATAATGGAAAGTTTGCTGCATTTTGTTCCTTCACCCCTACAGAAGAGGTAAAATTTTCATAGGGGTTTTTGGATGGCCAGATGATTGAGTAGAACTATTCATACGTGGTTTATAGATGGCTCTACAATATATACTAGCATTATTTGAAAGTTAGTGGTTGTATTGGTACAGTCCAAATCCAAGATTTTCCTAGAGGACAATGGTGCACAGAATTCAAATTGAAAATAATAATAATAACTTTAATAATAATAATAATAATAATGTTCTTAAGTTTTAATAATTATAATAATGTTCCCAAGTCTTAAGGAAATACTTTTTTCTCCAAAGCC